GGCAGTGAAGAGAGTTCGGTCTTTGCTGAAACTGCCAATATGATGATAACTAGTCAGCTTTCTAGATGCATGTCCTTAAGCAGGGATTAAAAAAAAAAAAAAAAAGTTTTTTGTGGCTACTAGATCACGATTGCAAATGTCAAAAAGCTTTCTTCATCATGTGCTGAAATCATGTCCCTGAAGGTTTCTTGTATCTCTGCTGCAAAGTGTAAGTTATTGCTATCTTATTTAAATGTAAATCTAACTTGTGCCTGTTTGACTTTTTCCTTCCTTTGCTTGCTTTATTCATCTGTGCATATCTCTAATAGCTCTGAGTCTCTAGAGAATCTTCTATTGTATATAGGGGCTGATGGGACTGGAGCATCTTGTTGCTGAAGATGGAGATTTAGCTCTTGCGTTCTCTCCTGGACATGGATCAGAGTATGGAGCCCTGAATGAAGGGACTGTCCAAGTCAGAGCTGCAGTCAGGGACTACAGGAATCAGTCATCCCTGGCCATCTTGTTTGGTGCTTGGGAAGTCTCTTAGGGCTTGTCTGCGTGGGTGAACGCAGGGAAACTTGCACTCTAGCCTAACCAGGCGCAAGAGGAATCTGGTTGGTTAGTCCTGTGCCTGGGCTGTGCTAACTTACCCTACAGCTACAAGACTTGTGTCCTGGAGCTGGCTTGTGGAGTGCAGGACTGCTGGGCTGCACCTCTGTGCCACAGACATGCCCAAAGACTACCTGTGCCACAGTTTTCCCATGTGTAAAAAGGGACCACTAGAGCTTATGCCCATCTTAAAAATGCTTGTGACAAGCTCTTGAGGAAGGAGTCACTAGGTGAGGAGTTCTCACAACCACTCTGAAAATACAAGGCCTGTGTTATTAGTTCGATTGCCAAAAAAAATCTTGTTAGTTGTTTTCCTCCCTTGATAATAGCTTCTAGAAAACTTTTTTCCAGCTTCAAATTCCTGTGATTGGAAGCTGCTTTCAATTTTTTTGGTTTCTTTAAGATAAAGGGAGGTAAAATCAAACAATTCTGGAATGATACAGGCTAAAAAAACCTTTTCTCTGAGGAAAGTCCTCTACCTTTCCCTGTGCTCCCCCCGCCCCTTAGAAGAAGTGATTTGAGAAAGGCAGAACCTCAGCAAATAGCCCTTGCAGAGTGGCCTGGTATTGGCAGCGTTTTGAAAGCCTCAACTCTAGATGAAGAGACCAGTGGGTGTTTGAAGTGCTGTAGCGTGAACATTGCTCACAGAAGGATGTGGAGGCTGATGTGTAGAACTCAAAAGCTTTCTGTGAAATCACTGCATGCTCTAAACCAAAACACTTCAGATTTTAAGCTGGGCTTCACTTATAGTCAAAGAGGCAGTGGAAATAGTGTGCTGGGAACAGTACAGGAGGTCAGCGGGTATGCTAGAGATTGGCACTTTCTCTCCCACCCTTTTTCCCCCCCACATTCTGGGGAAGCAAGGCACTGTAGCTTCAGCTTGAGAGGGCTAAAAATATTTCAGCAGAGAGTAAGCTGGGAGTAGTTGGTGTAGTCATAGAGCAGACTTAAAAGCCTGAGGATTAAGAGTGGAGCTGGAGAGAGAGTAGGGTTGAGACTTTGGAAGGTGGATGGACCCTACCAGACAGGTTGCTGCTGCTGGAAAAGGTGTCCCCCTCTCTCAGCTGCCTTTTCCTCTGCTCGCTTCGTGCCAGCTCGTGAGCTTAACTGACCCTTTGCATTGCTGGTTCAGTTTGCTGAGCTCTCGGGGTGAGCGAGGAGTTTGGGAGAGCTCCAGAACCTCTGCAGATGGAGGGAGTTGGGACTCTGTGGGGGTGAGAGGAGTGTCTTTGGCAGCAGCTGAGCATTAGGTTGGCTGTGCCTTATCCTAAAACCTCACCCCTAAAGAAAAAGCTCATTGTTCCCTGCCTAACATCCCTCTCCCTGGAAATCTGTTCCTGGCCTCTGTAAGCGTGACACTGTTGCATGCTAGCAGTCCCTCTTCTCAAAGCCAACTCTATCTCCACTGAGGTTATTATCTCTTAAGAGCCATAAATGAACTCTTAATTCTGTGACTTTCATTCAATGATGAAATTAACTAATTTATTCTATAAAATATATAATACTTGCAGTATGACATGTAAATATGGCTGTTGAAATCTTAACCTTTACGTTTCTTGATTTCAGGTTTTTTTTTTTGTCGTGTTCCCCCCCCCCCCACCATGTACAACCTTAATACTGTACTAACAAAATGCATAAAACGTATTACTCTGATACATTCAAATGCATATTTCTTGGACATAAAAATACTGTTTAGTGAAATGCCAAGTACCACTTCTCTCAGGTGACTAACATCTTGTAAATCCAATATTTGTGCTCCTGAACACATAAAGAAAATCTGATGTGAGCATTTAGGCACATTACTTTTTCCGTGGAATGCAAATCTGTAGGACTTGTCCTATAGGGGTTTTTCACCCTTATAACATTTTCTTTAAAGCAGATTATGAAAATATTTATCATTACCTATATATTGCCGTAGTATATGTGTGCCCTTGTTATATCTGAATGACTTAAATATTTTTGTGGCAGTGTTGCACATTGCCTGGCTAATTTGTAGGGGGAAAAAAAGAGATCATCTTGCTGCTTTTAGCAAAAATTCAATAGCGCGGAAGAGTAAGATCTAATATTAAGGCTTTTTTTTTTCTTAAGAACATATTCTGCAGTAAATGTACCAGCACATTATGGAGAATTATCGTACTTAGAGCTATTCTGCATGTGTCTTAAACAAATGAACACTTTAAAATTTTTTTCCTATTTGAAGCTTCATGTTTACTTACTTAGTAAGCAAAGCAAGGCTTTGGGCTCCTAGACTATGGTGGCTGTAACAATGCATTGCTTAATGTAGAGTGACTGTGCGAATGAACAAGGTCTTAATCTTCTAGTATGGGAAGTTTTAGCAGTTACAGTAGTGACCAAATTTTAAAATAATTTCAGGGATATCTCTGCTGCCATTCAAGCTCATGCTAACTATTGCCCTTCCCACTCATGGTCACGTAACTGACCCTTGGACAGTCAGGATTTGCTTGCCTGCTTTCCTAATGTTAATTTTGCATGTCATGTTTTAACCTGTGTTTTAAATGTATTTGGCAGCTGCAAGCAAGAGGTGGTGGCATCATGTGCACAGCAAGAGCTCTGCAGTATGTAAAACACAATTTGGGCATCTCTTTTATGGTACTCTTGGATCATGTATGTGCTAAGCCTGGGAGCGAAGGCAATCTTGCCTAGCTTTCCAGCAGAACTGATATTAACACTGTGGCAAGAAGGAAGGTAGGTGCGTGGCCATCAGTTGTGTCCCCGAAGGCCATTTAGAGTACTCATTCCTTGTGCCAGCAGTGTGCTAGCTGGAGGGAGAAGAGGGTAGAATCTGTTTTGTGGGGAAGGGGTTGCTGGAAGCAAAGTGAATTAAGAGGGCTGTAAAAAAATGATAAAGATAGGACTGTCTGTTTTTATATTCTGCCACATAACATGGGTTTAAATGAATTTCCCTATAATTTGTCTTCAAATACCGACATTTAACTCTTAGGCTGTATAAATGAACTGGCTTTTTCTAGAGTAAAATTCATGCCCTGCGTCCAGGCTAATATGTTCACCTACTATAAACATTACTGCCTATGGTTACAACCGGAATAAAAAATTCCTTTTATATACATCATAGCTGGCAGAGACTCCTGAGACCACCACAAATCACTTCAGCCTTTTGGTGCTCTCTGACGAAATGAACTGAAATGTAAAATGGCTCAGGCTTCAGGCAGGCTGGCTCTGGAAAGCAATTAGCTTGTTTAGACCATTGTTTGTACCCTCCTGTATTTCCAGGTGCTGAGCAAAGGTGTTCTAGGAGCTCTCCTGATTGATTTAAACATTGGGGTCTAGTAACCTCCCATTCCTTCCTAAAATGTTTTGCTTATGCTCTGTGTAGCTTTTTATTTAAAGGAAAGAAAAACAAACAAATACAACCCTGGCAAGGCCCCCCCTTCCACAAAAGAACAAGAAGAAGAAGGAAAAAAAAACCACCTCAGGGTCATAACAGGGAATAACAAAGCAGTGAGTTATTTATGCAGCCATGATTGGCAAAAATGATTGCAACATGAATTTGCCCAGAAGCAATGATTAGATCATAAAAATGTTAAGGAAATCTGTAACTCAACACCATTTTATAGATTGAAGAAGTTTTTGTTCCCTACCTTAATTGCGGTGACTTGTTATTAAAGTATTTATTCAGAGTAATCTCTTTGGACAGCGAGCCCTTATCCCATCTGCATGCATAATTAAAAGTGAGGGGGGAGAGAGGGGAGCATAAATGGTTTACCATGCTACATGAGCAAGGGAGGGAATTACACAATGACAGGTGAAGAGCAGATTTATCTCCTGTTGGAATTTCAATGCTGCAAGCAAGGCAGGACACTGTTGCTTGCTAATATCCCTGCAAACACCACAGTTGCTGCTTCTCCAGATTACTGTCCAAAAATCATTGCTGGTCTCTGAAAGGCCTGTAGCGCTGCATCTGTGAATATGGGTTTTGGATCTGTTGGTGCTCAAGCAAAGAGATTTGGATTTGGGTATGTGGGCTTGTGAATCCATTTCTGTGCTTAAAAATGGACTATTTACTTACTTGGCTGGCTATTTATTTATTTATAATAAACATCGGTAGTTTCTGGCTTTGCTGAATACAAATCAGAGGGTTGCAATTGTTCCAACTGAAACAATGTCATCACCTGCCTCCTGCTGCTGTCCCTTTTTCAATGATGAACTTGGTGCAATTCTTCTTTTTCCACTCTCTGAGTAGAAAGAAGGTTGTACTTGAACATTCATCTCTAGGCAGATTTATCATCGTTAGGCAGTACTCAAACACACAGTATGTGTTTTTAAATGGAACTGTTATGGATGTAAATCAGATTTACACAGAGTAAGTTGGTATATATTTGACTCTAACTGATTGCTAAAGAGTATTTTTTCCTTAACTTCTGATGTCTCACCTCTGCAGCAGCAGTACAGAGAATGCCAGGAACTTTTGAGCCTTTATCAGAAGTACCTGGCTGAGCAGCAGGAAAAACTATCGCTCTCTCTTTCTGAACTCAGTGCTGCCAAGGAAAAGAAGCAGAAGGTAAGCTCTTTTCTCCCATCTCGATTTTAAATAACATCTTTGAAACATCTTTTCTCTTTTTCTAGAACTGCAACTTTAAGTGTCTTGTCCTGCATTATGCCGCGTTGAATAGTGTTTTGTGATTGGCTTCCCATGGGTCCTTCCCTTAATACATGGATTGCAGGAAAACAAAAAAACCTCCAAGTTTTGGGTCAATTAAACAGGTGAAGTTAATTGACCATGTTGTAATGGAGTAGGAATCATAGGAATCCATACCTTCGCTAAGGAAAAAGTTAAGATGCTTTTCTGTTTTCTGTCCTGTTTCTTAAACAGTAAAATAATTGCAGTCGCTATAGATACAGCCTTTCAAATTTTCACTGTGGCTTTAGATGATTGAAAAGGACATTACAGATGATGTATTTGGTCAATAAGTGCTTTCTCAAGTCTGCAAGGCAGCCCATCTGATTTGAGCTGTTTATAGAAGACCTATAATTATATATGCAGTTTAAAACCAGAAAATGTTGACTAGAGATACAACATGTTAAATTAAGTGGTAAAATGTTTCTCAGATGCATGCGCCCAAAGACTTGAAAACGTGGTTGCTTGAGATTTTTTTTCTGATAGCTAGTACTTAATTTGCATCCCTGCTGATAGCAGATTATGCCCTGGAAATGAAGGCTACTTACACAAGTGCTCTACCTTATGTTCTTAGCAGCTATTCTCTTTCAGTAGCTTCCATCTGCAGATCTCCAGAGTCTATCCTACCTAAGACTATGCTTTTTTTATGGATTGGGACCTTGATCCTTTCTTTTGCAGGAAGAGCCTTTAAGGCTTTCAGTAGGGCTAGAATTAAAGTCATCAGCAGAGTATCCAGAAGTTGGCCTGATTCTGGCCTCTCGGTGGTTCCCTACTAACAAAGTTGCATGGACAGATCCCATTTGTCAGGACCCTGTGAAGGAATGGATGCATTTTTAATTCTGTTCAGGAAGCAGGTAGCAATACTTCTGACTTCGTTGGCATCAGGAATTGTTTTTTATCCTGCTGATGTTTTTGGGTTTTTTTTCTAAAATAATGTTGTTGGACATTGAGCTGTCTGACAGGCTTTTAGCCTTTATAAACATTTCATTTCCATCCTTTTGTATTTCTACCTGCCATCCATTCGGTGATGGTGTTGAGTTCAAAACAAGAACCCTTTTCTCTGAGAATGGATGATGCCTGTGATATGCAACTTGCTGAGGATCTCCGTGGAAAACAGAGGAGCCCGTGAGGTCCAAGAGCTCTGTGGCAGCTCTGTTTGGGATGATGCCAGTACCATACTTTCAGGTTTTGCCATGCTTTACCTTTCACCTTTAGCCTTTCAAATTTAAATACACATATCTCGTACTAGGTTAGCACCTAGTATAGTTACCCAGTGTAATCACATCTACAGTGGTAAAGTATAAAAGCAGATAATAGGAAACATTCAGCCCATTAACTGCAAATCAGCAGCTGATGGTACAGCAATCTACGTTCATCTCCTCGTGTTCTTCTGTCTTCCTAAGAACAGACTTCTCTGAACTTGTTTTCTGATTTCATGCTCAAAGTTCTGTCAAGCTTATCTTTGATCCTGTTATTTCTTTTCTCTAAACTTACAGATACTTTTGTCCACAAATGCAAATTCAGATATTATATTTAAAGCCATGTTGAGGTTTGCCTTGACATTTCATCTATGGTTACCTAGTCTACAGCTCCAGTCTAGCAGGTCTGAAATTACCCTAGCCCTCTTGCCCTGTGCAAAGCTTTGTAGGCATAGATAAAAACCTGTCAAAGTGTGTTTCAACTGTTTTTTCTTATAGCTTGCAAAATATTTCTAATGTTTGTAGCCTTCCTCTTCAATTTTCTCATTCTATGCAGTCCTGGCAGGCATAGAGCTGTTTATATCTTGAATGCATTTGGCTTTATAAATTGTTACCTTTTTTCCCAAACAAGCACTTCATGCTATGTTTCTCCTCACAGCTCAGAAACTGTGGAGAGATTTGCAGGACTGACTCACTGCATCGGTTCTTCCCCTAACACGCTTCTTCATGTGATAGCTATCAAAACTGAAGAAAAGTCACTGGGCTGGTTCTTGTTGGACTGTTGTGTTGTTTTCACAGACCTTTGTTGTTGCTGTCTTTCTCTCTTGTCTTAATACTGGAATTGCGAGCTCTGAGGGTGGTGATCGGTCTCTTTCTGTTCTGTTTGAGCGTTGTCTTAACACAGTAGTTCAGGCAGGCATAGGGCTTGAATTCCGGTGTCTGCCTCGATGGGGAATGCCACAGGGGAGCGCAATGGGGAGGGATTTTTGGGAGGGGGAGAGATCTAGAAAACTTCCCTCCTGCTCCGGGTGTTGCCCACACCAACTCTCTCTGCCCTGCTGTGAAGCTTTTATGCCCTCCCTCTTTTTATTTTAAGGTGGACTTCGAAAAAAGTCACCTTGTTTAAATATTAGGCTAAAGAAAGTCATCGAGTTTTGTTTGAATCCGGATCCTTTGGGAATCTTTTCCCTATTGTTTGTTTCTGACTGGGCTAAGGAAATCCTGGATATGACTGGCTTTAAGTCAATAAATACTAGCTTCCTACCTTGTTTTCACTTCTTTAAACTGCCTAGGAGAGGTAATCAGCGTTTCCTATTTCAGGTGACTGCTGATGTTACTGGGACGTCTGTGCTTCAGTGTAAGATGTCGTTCTGATTTTCCTGTGTCTTGCAGAAACATGGGACTGCGCAGTTATACTTGGGACTGAAGCACTTCTTTTTTCTGCCTGTTACAAGCTGTTCGTTCCTGTTTACGTTCATTTTCCTGTCTTTGCCCTACTTGTTTGTTTAATTAATTTCTAATGCTACACCTATATCTTAAACATCACCTGCTTTTTGCCTGTCTGGCTCCCTCATTCTTACTGTACAATAATGCTGACCATGAGCTGTCACTTTCCCCTGGGCTTAGACAGGTATTTGAAAGCATCTCCTTTCAGTGTTTAAATGCTGGGCTTTGTGTTAGAATGAGACAATTAACAGGTCAAGAGAACTGCAGCGGTGCAAAAACGTCTATGGCATTGTTGCAAAAAGAGGTGGAGTTGTATGGGAGGTGAAGGACTGCAGTAGCTGTGTGCATGTGGCTGAAATGAAGCCCTGGTTTGTAGCTATATTGAACTAATGCAGCTACTTTGATATTAATTTTTATTTTTGTCTGTTTTAGCATCACCTAATGGTACCAATAATTCTGAAATCACGTTTTCCTCTTACCTAATATTGCTTCTTTATAAAGAAAGTCAGCCCTCAAAATTTACAGAAGCATTCTGGTAGCGGTGAAATAAAATTACTGGGAAGATGGTGGTGAAATGATTTAAGACAGAACTCTCGTGGAGTCAATAATCAGTAACTGGAACATGGAGCTTCCTTTTTTTCTGAGATAAAGTTAATTCCATTTGAAAAGATACTTAAGGTGACATGAATTGAATTATTCAAACTGGCCTTCTCAGCATTAACTCTAGGTTAATATCTCATGATGCCTCTGGTTTCATTATAGGAGCTTTAAGTACATAACTTTTTATAATAAATTCAATACCTAGAAGCCGAACTGAAATTGGTTTACCTTCTACCAACCCATAAAAAGAACCGTTAATTGTAAAGTGAATATTAAAGTGGTCACTAAAGTTGACTCAGACAGATTCAAAGAGATAGCCCTTGTGTAAAGGAAGTGAAGAGCTCTACTGAACAATAGGCTTCTGTCCTCGTTTTAATAGAAAATACCATCCATATTAAAATGTAGTTAAACCTCTTCTATCAAAAATGATTTTTGGATGTTCTTTCTGCAGCTCCCAAATGTTCGGTATCTGCCATTTTCAGAAGCTTTACACAGAGCTGTAAAGAAAATTGCCCTTGTTCTAGGTAATCAGGTCTGACCTAGTTATATAGTCACTGCTTCACTGCCATCTCAAACAGTGGCAAGAATCCAGTTTACTTTGGCAAGTCTCTGGCTGATGAATCTGTAGATGCTCTGCAGCATTGGGTAGGACTTGAGTCACAAAAGGTGGACAGGTGGCTGTGTCTTGTTAGGACTGGGATTCTTGAGCTACTTCACCTAAAAGAAGGATAATAGCTGTAGTCTCAGCATTGCCTGTTAATGTTGATCTTTGAATTTACAAGTACAGTTAGCAGCTTTTGTTTCTTATTTGTGGAAGATTACCAACACATCTGCTAATTCCCTTGATTTACATAGAATCTTGTTGTGTATGTGTTTTAAGATTAGGTTCTTCTCTCCTGTGTAGAAATGGCACAGATGTGGGGTGGGATTGTAGACAGAAAGGAATATGAAGAATTTATTTTCAGTGGGATATCTGCTGTCCCCTTTTCTTGTGTATTACGTCAGCTGCCTCCTGTTTGGTGTGTTTATTTCAGTAATGCCAGAGGCCCTCATCAGGAACGGGGTACTGGTGTGTACTAAGTGCAGTGCAAGCATACTGAAAGACATGGTCTACTTTGGGAAGACGGTAAAATCTTCAGGTGATTAGCTTTTGGGGGAGGATAATTTTTTTTTAAATTTTTTTTTAGTGATACTATTTCTCTTGAATTGCTTGTTCATCTTAAAAATGGTTGACACAGTTGTGATGTCGTTTTGCAGTGAAGTCCAGAGGAAGCCTTATTTTGCAAGGACTAGAAAGCCTTGTTTTCTTTTCATGTCAGTGACTAAAATTCTTGTCAACATCATTGTCATTTTTTGCCTTAATAAGGGTGATTACATACTAAACCTTCAAACACTGGTTATTTGATTTTATTTTTATTTTTTTTTTTACTTTGAAAAGTGTATTGATACAAGTCAATCTTCAGAAGCCCTTACTTTCTGATTGTCCCCAAACTTTCCCATTCCTCTTTTTTTCAACACAGGTCGCCTTTAAACACATCCTCAGCTTGCTTAAAGAAAAAAAAAAAAATCCCACATATGCAAAGGCTTTTGAATGCTATATGGTAAACCTGCATGATAGAATTGACTTTGTCTGTTTAC